TTTCAACAAACTAATTAGGAATTACGAGAAGGGTCTCATTTAATTCAAATTCACTAGAAATCTATTATGAATCATAAGCACATAAAAGGGACATGGGAAATAATAGGTATAAAAAGAGCAGCAAAATCATAAGTAAGATCTCTTTAAATAATAAATAATTTGGGCAAGAAAGTAGACATTTTTGTGTCGGATCCGCACCATAATTGATTATACAGCGACTCTAATTGATTATCACGTATCAAATTTTGAAAGTATTTGCGAGATCAAGAACATAATCAATTAGAGAGCTTCTTAATAAACTATTGAGTGGCTTCCCCTCATGATCATCTAGATATGATATATAATCGACTATAGGCCAAATTTTCAATGTATAATTGATTAAGTAGTGCCCATAAGTGATAACACGTTGGCCATGGCTATTTTTAAGAAGGCTTTGAAAATAGATAAAGTTTTAAAAATAGTTTTTTTGTGTGTGTGTGTGAATTATTTTAATATTGCATAAGATTCTATAAGACGGATAAATAGATAGATCAAGGATTATAAGCGATCTTTTCCCATTTAGCTTCATTTCTTGGTAGAGTATTTAGCTTTTTATTATGTTTGCACATATCACCATAAATCTTTTTGCTTTTTTATTTGTTTCATATTTATTTATTTGCTTGCTTGGTGATGTTTATTATTTTTATTTACTTTATTTTTTCATCATCAAAACCAAGAGTACTTATACACTACATAGAGTCATATTCTCCATTTTTTATGATAACAATACACCTCTCAATGAGGTGGAAAACATAAAAATTAAGATGAAAAATATCGGAGTGATTAACTCTCCCTCTCATATAAATAGAGTACAACAACTACTCTTATGAAAATATACTTCTCTCCCTTTAGCATAATTAAAAAGTGGAGAAATAAATAAAGCACAAAACAACATATATTTCACATATAAAAGAAATAGGGGAAGAAAGAAGAATCACATTAAACAGTTTAATCGATGCATGATTGGTTAAAAATTATAAATTCTCTTCTTAAGAAAAATAATAAATAGTTTTCTTTAGGAAGAGACTTACTAAAAATATAATGTCAGTTGATTAGATGAAGACATAAACTCAATTATGCATTCCTTTTTTCAACGTGTTCTCTAATAAAATGGAGTCTAATCTCTGTGTTTTGTATGAGAATGAAGTATCAGATTCTTAGTGAGTCTTATGACACTATTGTTATCACACTTAATCGTGACTAATCCGAAATTAATTCCATAATCACTTAAGTTTTGTTACATCCAGATTACTTGGGAACAACAACTACCCACAACGATGTATTTTGCTTTGGTTGTGGATAACGCGACACTTCATTGTTTCTTACTATGCCAGGAGACAAGAGAGTTATCAAGCAAATAAAATGTACGGCTAGTACTTTTTCAATCCAATTTATAACCAGTAAAATCCAAATCAAATTACCCAACCAAAGCACAACCAATTTTCTTGGGTACTATAAATCCATTTGTGATGTGATAGTGAGATAGCTCATAATATATTTGACTGTAGTAAGGTGTGAGTCTTTAAATTTAGCTTGAAAAAATGCACACATACATTTGACTGTAATATATATATATATATATATATATATATATATATATATATATATATATATATATATATATATATATATATATATATATATATATATATATATATATATATATATATATATATATATATATATATATATATATATATATATATAATGACAAAATGCAATGAGATAAAAAAGAGAATCAATTATACTTCGATATTTACTTTCCTTTACTAATTTTATTCACCTGTCCATGTCCAAATTACTTGAAGGGCTCATGGGAGTAGGAATTGGTTTTGATTTTTCCATTCTAAATCTTTTTAACAACTTGTTTCAATGACAAACTTGGAATTAAAAAAATTAAGAGATAACATGTATAATTTAGGGGTGCTATGTTAATTTCTCGCATTTATGTCGTGTTTTCTAAAACCTAGTGTCCCCCCACCCCATATATTACATTGAATTTATCTAAAAATTTGATATATTACACTTAACAATTAACAAGGTGTGGGTGTGAAGTATAGCTATGGGGGTGCCAAATATAAACCTCAAATATTAAATACATATTCAAATTTCGTATTGAAGAGATGAGCTAGCGTCTTTCTTAAAAAATTAAAAATAAATTTAATCATGAATTCAATTAGTTCTAATTCAATAATTTACGCTATGATTTCTATAAATGTGAAATAGAGTGAAGAGAAATGGGTACTTAGTTTATTATTATCATGTGAATTTCAATGTATTGTGAAATTAACTTATTATAATTATGCTTGCTAAGAAAAGAGAAAGAAAGATAAGAGATTTGAATATAGTGAAGTGTGCTAAAGATGAAGAAGATATAGATTTGCTTTAGGAAAAAGATATAAAAGATAGGTGAAAGACATTTTTTACCGTATATTTACTTAAGGATGTAATATATCATCACTCTAGCAGGCTCGACATTAGAAAAGAGAATCAAAACTATAATTGTACTTTCGAATTCAGAAACAGGAAGTAAAAGAAGCATTGAAAGGGATGATTAAGCAGTTAGGTCAGACAACATACCTATTAAAGTGTGGAAAATTCTCGGAGTTAGAAGCATTGAGTGGTTCACCAAACTCTTTAACAAAATTATGAGGTTAAAGCAAATGGCTGATGAATGGAGAAGAAACACTTTAGTTCCAATCTATAAAAATAATGGAGTATACAAAATTATGAAAATTATAGGAAATTAAACCTATGAGTCATGCCATGAAGTTATGGCAAAGAATGATTAAACTGAGACTAACAAAAGAGACTCAAATTATTAAGAATTAATTGGATTTTATGTCTGAGAGGTCAACCACGGAAACGATTTATCTACAATCATGTATTATGAAACATTATTTGATGGACCAATAAGACTTACACTTAATTTTCATTGACTTGGAGAACGCTTATGATAGAGTGTGTATAGAGATTTTATGGAAAATCTTATAGGAGAAAGGAGTTAGGATTATCTATATTCGAGTTATCCAAGATATGTATGAAGGGGTATTGACTAGTGTGCAGGCACATGGTGGAAAGACGGCTAATTTCCCATTACAAAAGGAATGCACCAAGATTCAATCCTAAATCCCTACTTTTAACTTTGATTTTAGATGTGCTCATAAATCATATCCAAGAGGTAGCATTGAAATATATGATTTCTATATATAGTCATACTTGGAGAGTCAAAAGAAAATTTAAATGAGAGGTTTGAGACTTGGATACGAACCATAGAAACGTATGACTTTCATCTAAACAGAAGTAAGACAAAGTATATATATAATATAAGTTCAACAAAAAAGAGAAGTGTTTTTAACCTAAAGGTGAAAATTGGAAATCATATCATCCACTAAATCACACGGTTTAAATATCTTTAGTCTTTAATACAAAATGGAGAGAAAAAAGAAAATGTTAACCATATAATTCAAACTAATTGGTTGCAATTGAGGAGTGACTCAGAGATTTATGTGACACAATAGTACTGTTCAAACGGAAGGAAATTTCTTGTCAAACGATAAGATTTGCAATGTTATGCGAGACAGAATGTTAAATGATCAAAAATCAACACAAAATAAGGTAATATAATAGAGATTAGAATGTTGAATGTATGGTAAGACTGAATAAAATAATACTAAAAATGACAATATTAGAGTATTTAGGTTAGTATATATAAATAGAAGATGGAAGAAATTTACCTTGGGTGATTTGCGCATATTGTATATTTGATTATAGGAAAAGTAAATCAGATGGAGAAGACTGAAATAACTAAAAAAAGAAAAATTAAAAAAGTATAAGAAAAACTATTAAAAAAATCTCCTAATTAACAAATTGAATAAAAACATGATATTGAATAAAATAGGGGAATATCTTATTTCACCTCATGTCCAAAAAAAAAATCGTATGCAATTCCTAAAATACTTCTCGAAAACCGAAAATGTATTTTTGATTCACACTTTTTTTAAACTACGCTTAAATAAAATCAAAAATACACTTTCGATATAAATTGAAAATACATTTCTGGTTCCTAATAAACCTTTAACAACAACATTGTTAGTTAGATAACACATAAAAAAATATAGTATTTTAATATTTGGGATCAAAATGATTATCAAATTGTATGTAAATAAAGCAAATGATATAGTACTATATTTCAATCATAATTTCAGACCATAGTGAAAAAAAGCAGTAAATTACGAAATTTCAGAGGAAAAAGGCAGTAAATTACTGAGATTTCAAGAATCCAAGGAACCGGAAAATACATTTCTGGTTTATATATCTGAAGTCCATTTCCAATTTTCAAAAACATGAGATAGAATAAGAAATCCCCTAAAATATTATAACAAAATTTAATCATACAGATTCCTCACTTTTGGCTGTTGTCACCAAAAGGACTAAAATGGATCAAAAATGATGCCTAACTTAAATATTATTGTGAAAATTCAATTGGACGAGACTACATAGCATGAGTAATTTTTCAAAGACACGTGCCACCAAAAATGAGTTATCTTTCATATTCATAACGTTCAGCACAAGAATAAACCATAGCCAAAAAACCAAAATTAAGCACAAAAAAAAAAGTTATAGGCACATTATTGCCTTAGAAAATATAATTACAAGGAAAATTAAATTTCTGATGCCCCAAATCCAATGCTATATAGTATGGTATATTCTATTGTACAATCAACAGCTTCTATAAATTATGCTAATCTGGGTCAAAGTCGGCTGTTCTAGAATGCTCATGTACACTCTCAACTGAACTATAACTAAATCTATTTCTTCCATACACACATCAGCAGGCTTTACATTTAATTTACAAAAGTCACAGCGGATCTAGTATGATACTGTCTACTCAGTCTAGCTGTTTTTCCTCTCAAACCAACGAGTAAAGAATAATCACCTTCATTATATATAAATAAAAGTCAAGATTTTTCTGTCTTCTTATGGAGCTCTTTATCAGCAAAGTGAAGAAGTCGCCTCAGTCTTAGAACCATGTCACAATGGAATGGAAGCGCTGTTCTTCGTTCTAGGTATGCGGGGCTGACTGTCATCCATGACAAGGCATGAAGCTCTGCTGCAAGAGATTCCAGAATCAAGTGTGTCTCAGTTTCAAAATCTTTAGCTTCCCAGTTCAAACCTCTACCACCTTGCTTGTTAATTCCTCGAACAAACTTCTCTTGGGTGATGTTAGAACATCCATAATAATCGATGAGGCTCACTGAGAGTACTGAAGGCCATTCTTCTTTCAGGTTGCTTCGATAGTCCTTCCTCATGGAAGGAACTGCTTTTGAAACCACAAATCCTGTGGAGAACGGAAGAGCAGAACCCTTGCTATGAAGCAAATGAGCTAGAGGCGGAGACTCGGCAGTGAGGCATGTGGGGAGTTGAAGAGCTGTTGGAGGAAGGAACCGCATGCTGGGAGAAGGAATCATAACATATGCAGAAGATGCGGAACCAAGAGACTTCACTGGAGTGAAACCTTCTACATTACCTACAAAAGACATCAAGATTTTGATTTGATAAAAAATGTCAAGGTATACTACGATCATGACAAATAATTCTGAATTCAAATTCCATGAGACTACAGATGGGTTATAATAGTTCAAGAGTATCAGTTTTAAAATATTCAAGAGCATGATGACAATTAAATATGACCCTCTTTTTTTCAAACACTCAGTTCTCTCTCTATCTTTTGTGTGCTAAGGTATCCCTCTAATTCTGAGTTAGGTCCCAGTTATTTGTAAATACTCAAGATGTTCAATCTTGGGCATGAGGTGTGTTGAGCTCTACATCAACTAGAGATGTGACAAAAGAGTCCCTATAAGACATGGACAATCCTCACCTCTTGAACTTGATTTTAGGTTGAGTTAGATATAGTTCAAAATTATAAAAAATTTCAATTTGGGAATGCAATTGAATGAAATAAGGAGAGAAAAAAACTATTGTGGTAAAGATCACTTACCAGGAGACGATGAATCGGCTGGGAGAACTGGTTGTAGCGTATGGTCCATAGAAATTGCAACAAAACTAATGCTTTGTGCCCAATGAAGCAAACCCCTTGAATTTTCAACCATAGAATGTCCACCCATTACCTGCTTCCTTGAAGCAGATTGCCCTAAATTGCCTTTTATAAAACCAGTTGGTTTGGGATGAGGGCTGTACAGAGGACTAGGGGAGGAAGGAAGAGTTCTTTCTGGGATCAAACTCATATCTGGTTGTTGCAAAGAAGAACCATTACTATTTGAGGACATCCCATCAGACAGAGACTTACGGAGTTGCAGGGGCCATCTTTTCATCTCAGATCCACCAGCTGAATAAATGGCTTTCTGCCACTCTGTTTGAATAAAATATCAGTTACATTAGCGTCTATTGACTATTATATCAAGAATAAGTACAAATTTACAACTGAATGCAAGTATATACGAATAACTTGAAGACTGGAATAGAACTGACATGGTCTAAAAGCAGATATACAAATTCGAGTGGATAAGTGTCATCATTACCAATAGAAAGCAATAGGGCTCAATTTGATAGACTAAACAGTTAATGGTCCAAACTTAGGTATAAAAAATTTAATAACATAAAATGCAAAATTCTGTTAAAAACCACAGATTAAAAAAACAGTGTAATATAAAACATCAGAGATGGTGTATTTTCTATTTTATTCTATGTTACCCTATTCCGAGATTCAATCACTTATTTACACATAACACACTATGATGAAACAAACATTAGATAATTGAAAGTGAGTCCTCTCTAATCGGGAATCAATATTTTGAATGTACTAAAGTAAAATAAATGAAGTGAGCTAAATTTCATTATTGCAATTGAGTTGCTCATTCGATTGGACATATTGTGGTACACAATTCATAATTGCAAACCACTGCTAAATCTAAAGATTCTACACATCGAAGGACAGAGCACCAATAAAAACTGATGTAAGATTGTTATTTTAAACATAAAGGGGAGCCCAAGCTCTTGCAAGGGAAAACTAGAGTCTCGGCTTCTCAAAGAAAGAATTTATGTCTAAAAACAACCCAATGACTAACTGTCAGGCTATAAATATGGGATAATGGGGTAGCTAGAAGTTAGGTAGTAAGTTATGAAATTGTTAAGTGGTTGTTCAGAGTAGTTATTTTGGTAGGCTAATTCGCAACATAGGTGTAACACAATATGCACTTAAGCCTACAACATTGTGTGACTACAACCCATTCACTTGAGTTTGGTAGAAGTGATTTTTAATTAACTTCCACAGAAAGTCAATGACTTTAAGTCATCTAAAAAAATGTCTACCATGTTTCAAACCCGTGTATGTATAATGTACCTCAAAAACAGAGCAGATATGCAGAGACAGAAATTTTACCAAGGTACTCAAGCTCATAGAAACCTCCAATGCGTGCTATCACAAAATCCCGAGGCTTTGCAAGACCGGGCTCACAAGATTGAAGTATCAGACAACCTTGTTGAAGAACTTGACCAAAAAGGCACTGTAGACCTTTTGTATCCTGCCTACTGCTTATTCCACCAAAGGGAAATATATTAGTGTCGAGCAATTCTCCCCTTGAATCTGTCCAGATGCATACAAGCCAACGCCAATCCTCTGTCCATCCATAGCAACAATGTAAGCTTGGATGAGTCTTTTGATCAGACCCAGATCCATCAATGCTTGAAGCCGAATCCACACTCCCAGATGTACTTGTACTCTGCACATGGTTACCACTACTGTCATCTGCCAGTGCCTTGGAAGTTTCTGAACCGGGGCTACCAATAACTGAAATACCATGTTCTGGAGAACCAGGTTCAGCGAGAATAAAAAGGGGTTCAAACATGTAGCGAATTTCATCATGAGGAAAAATATCCCCAGTTCTACTTGGATCGCAGTTCAGAACCCCAGACCTTGTCGGTTGCCAAGAATTATCCCAATTACCAGGTCTCAAGCTAGTATCAATGTCACCCTCTCTTGGAATAGAATGTCCTGCCATCCGAGGACCAACACAGTCTTTCCACATCCCAGAGATGGGAGAAGGCATTTGGGGCAAAACAGACTGAGATCTACTAGAAAAAGCCAATTGAGATAAATCACTAGAGATGCCACGTGAAACACGACGAGCCTTGCTGTACACAGTAAAGGCGGTCTCTTTTAAAATAACAAGCTCACTCACTGATGGACTTGTGACTCTGAAAATGGCATCGACTGTAATTATCTGCAAGACCAATTTAGGAATACTAAAGCCAGAAAGCACAGGGATATTAGATGCTGAAGCTTCATCAACAGTTGCCAAACCACTCAATGCCTTGACAACCTGACTGTGCAAGCTAGATCTCCTCTCTCTATCTGACTGTTGGATAACTGATCCAATGGCAACAGATGATTCAATAACAGTTTGTAAAATTGCAGATGGATCAGGAAACGGGCACACCACATAGATTACCTAAATGTAAGGAAATTAAACAAAAAGGATGAGATCAAAAAAATCTAAGCATGTAGATTTGCCAAAAAAATTCGGTGAGAAATATACAATTTTCTTTTTTTCTTATATTAACAGAGCCATGAGTTATCATGATGTTATTTCATTAGTAGTTAAAAATACATTATAGCCAATAATCTACAGTATCAAACCAATAGACAAGTCACTTACCAAACAGGAATTGTTATTTCCTTCAGAGGGGTTCGCAGAAAGACAAGAGTTGAGGTTTAAAGCTCTCAGCGCCTTTGAAAGAGACTTGAGATAACTAGTCAGGTCCCAACCATTAGATAAAGATAAAAAATAATCACTTACTGAACCAACAAGAGATGCATTGCTGCTCTCAATCTTCATTGATTGAGGACAATCAAGTAAAACAAAACCACAAGATGACGACTTCGCAGGCTCAATCTCCATCTGATTCCCCAAGACCAAAGGTGAATGAGTACCTAACTTGCACATCTCATAGACTGAAAAAAGAGAGAGAAAAAATAAGACTGATAGAACAACTCAATGCCAAAAAGCAGATTGAAGGAACAAAAATAGATGGAACTTAAATCAACAATAGTAGAGAGTAAAATTCTGGAAGCATACTTCTGGCATAGCATACAACTATTGTTATTGTTAATTGGTGTGACACAAAGGAAAGTCCAGCAACATAAACAGCTCTAAGAACTTAAAATAGAAACTATCCCCCATTAAAGAAAAAAAAATCTTTTCCAAAATAAAAGATCCTACTATAGTTTCTCCATATTTTCCTCCATTTTAAATAGTTGGATATGTATACAAAGTTTACTATAGCCAGACTGTAAGGATAAAAGATTTCCAAATATGCAACCTCAAAAATGTCATCAAACAGACCTTATAGATCAATTGAAGCATAATTACCACTACTCACCTGTTCCTAGTTGTTGAAAAAAATCAGCAGCAGCAGAAGTAAGGGGATCAATGTCCGGACATACAACATGATATGTAATCTATAACCAACAATACATACAATTACATAAATGAAAGAAAATTGTTAAACTCATTTTCCAGCAACATCATCAACTGGTAATTATAAACGTACAGGTTTCTGCAGAGCATAAGGTTCAAGAGGAGCCTTTTCCCAGTGCTGCAGACAGTTTGCCGATGCCTTGAGCCAATCATCCTGATACCTATTAAAGGGGCAACACTAATCTAAATCATCAAATGCACTAAAATACTACCAAAAGCCTTGTGTCCTGGATAATTATATAGTCAAACATGCTTGACTTTAAACATAAAAAATGACTGCAAGTGCACATACCCTACAAGTATAGAAGGAAATGGAACAGCAATGAGGGTAGGTTTAAGCCGGGAGCACAGGTGCTGCTCTGACTCTGAAATGCACATATCTTGACCAGCTCTCCTTTGGGAAGTCTCATCCACCTTGGCACTATCCATCATGCTGGAAACTGCAGTAACATTCAAATTTTATTAGTAGACCGAAAACAAGGCTTCAATCACTAATGGAAAAGCAAACTTATACCTTTAAAACTGGATGATCCACAAACAGATGATTGGGATGGGCTCAATGGTTCCGAAGAATCCCTACATTCACTAATGCTAGATTCTGCAGAAACCCCGTCAACTATGCTTCCAGTATCAACTAATTGGTTGCGTCCTTTGCACCAATCAGTCACAGATAGTGGCCCTTCCAAATTGGGAAATGCTGACCTTAAAGCTGTTTTTATGTCAGACTGCAACAAACTGATCACAGTAGATGCATGAACCTGAAAATTCAGAATACTGACAAGCTAAGTATAAAATGGAACATACAGCCTATTTAATCATTAGCTATTCAGTACTATAACCAGAGACCAAATCCTAAAACCCTGTCCTTGAGGAGAGAGACGTCAATGGTTTGTGAATTTACAAATTGTTGTTAATATGTTATTTTTACTACTATCGAAGGTAATTTATATTCGGGCCTTTAGTCCATTAGTTAAGACCATTAGATTAGAATAGTCTTATATAAAGAGATTAGTGCTTGTAATTTTAATATAGTTGAAAAATATTATTCTGTTTTAAACATGGTATCAAAGCCTATATTAGATCCACTGTTGGGCTTCCCGCATCGTCCACGCTTAGGGCTCATTGAGGCCCAAGCGTGAGGGGGTCTGTTGGAATTTCTGCCTTAATTGCGGTCCGCCCCTAGTCGCCTTAACTATGGCACTTTGGCTTGCCTTCATTGCAGCCCCTAACACCTTCATTGTGTTGGCTTTGAAGGGGTGATATAATCCCACATTGCTTAGAGATATGGTCTGTGTTGTGTTTATAAGTGGGGGCAATTCTCACCCTGCAAGCCGGTTTTGTAGGGATGAGTTAGGCCCAACCCAAATTCCGAGACAAATCAACATGGATTAGTAGATTGAACATTTTAGAAAAGTACATGCAATATAGGCTTACATCAGAAGAAAGTGGATCCACTAATTCCAAACCAGCAATATCCAGCGAATGAGAAGAGGAAAGAGTTCCTCCACAACCAGCATGGACCATTGAAGGCCCACAACAAAACCCACGCCTCCACTGTTCTTGCAACGCAAGCAGGCCATAAGGACCATCACCACAATCCGCATCCAATGCCAGATCAACAAAGGAAGTAGCCTGTTGGACAAGTAATGTGATACCATCAAGAAGCTCCTGAAGTGGTTTTCTTTGACCATAAGAAAGGATGCCTTCCTCACTGAATGAATTATGGGAAAAGGAAGGACCAACTTCCATGTTTGGTGAACTGGAAGGTTTTACGACTTTTGAAGCTCCTACAGAGCGCCAAACACCAACAGGTGCATTGAGGTGCCCATCAAGCATTCCTCCATCAATATCACCTGCAATCCTAACTGGTATATTTTCTTTCTTTTTCACCTCATACTTGCCAGATATGTTATCTGTAGAGGTACTCGGGTCGTTAGGAAGCTGATTAGAAAATGTAACCCCAGTGGACCTGCTCAAACCGACAGGAATGAGGTTGTTACCAGAAGACAAGAGTGTATGTCGTAACCTGCACATGGAAGCTTGTGACATAGCACAGGTAACATCAGTTGCCAATAATGTTTTTGCAGATAGAGTGAAATGATCTGTGTCCTTTGTGCCTTCAGTGTCCTTTGTGCTTTCAGTAATCTTCCTTAAAACAGACTTCACAGAGGCATTAGAACCAATGTTCGAAAACGGAGGTTCTATTATCCCCTCAGATTTAACAATGTTGTTAACAACACCTGCAACTGCTTTTCTGTCATTTATGTCTTTCCTACTCTCCACAAAAGTATAGTAATTTTTTGAGTGGAGAGTCATACTTGTATCATTTTTTCCGGAACATGTTTTTGTATTGATAACCAGTCCATTCTTCCCCTCTGATCCTTCAATATAGGAAGATGAGGGTGGCTCTGCACCATACAAGTAATTGTTTGAACAAGAATTTGAACTCTCTGCTTTTCGAGACTTTGGAAAGTAAGGGCTTCTGAATAATGTTGTGGATAACCCACTAGTAGGGGCCTCAACAGCTCCAAATTCAGGAGCGAAGGTCATCATTGCTTCAGCTTTTATTATATGATCAAACTCCCCTGTATACAACATTTGAGTTTGATTAGTTGCACCCATTGACATGGAGTTATTCAAGTTATCTTGATCTTTGTTAGGGCACTCCTCCATGACTGGTGGAGGAGTTGGATTAAAGCTCTCAAAGGAAGAAAACCCAACAGGCAAATGTATTTGATCTGAAACATCCATCACATCGTTACCAACTGGACTACTGTTGACATCTCCACAATCCGGGGCAGACAACATAAGAGCCTGAGATTCAGCAGTTCCTGGGGGCTTTGCCAGAAAATTGATTGTACAATTAGAAACCAGTATATTCGAGACCAAGAAGCAGAGAGAAAGAATTATAATATTAGAATAAAAGAAGCTTGTAATCTTGCAGCATTCATGATTTAAGGAACAAGATTCAGAGTAAACTTTGAAAATAGTACAATCCATTCAATCAACCAAAGGATACCTAAAATCTAAATTTTAAATTAATAATAGAATATCATGGATAAATAAAGTTAAATATGGTTCATGTTTACTGTACATGTTTACTAAAATCAGAAAGAAAGACAAGGCATAAGAAATTAAGAGCAAGTCTTCCATTCCCCCCTCCCAAAAAAAACCATAAAAGAGAGAACAAACTAAACAACCTATTTGGTGCAATATAGTACTAAAAATATTCAAATACCTCTCCAAAAGGTAAATCATCATTTTCAAAGAAGTCGCCAAAATCACCAAACTCGGATAAAAGAGCTTGAATATCCATTTCCATGCCTCTATTCTCCTCGTCATTGTCACCCCAGTCCCAGTAAGACCCAAGTGGCTCATTCTCTGCTCTTGTAATGGCTGAATTGTTAACTTCCATGGAACCAAAATCAGACATGTACGCATCTTGCCCGGGAATATTTGTAGTCGCACTTAATGACTGTGTTCCTGGTCGAGACCGCTTAGAGCCCTGCACAGCAATAACAATCACTACTAATCTCCAATTGTACAAAATTTAAGATTGGCAAAATAGTAAAGTTTTAAAAGATTTGCTATTCTAAAAAAAACTATGATACTCCATCCGTCTCAAAATAAAAGTCTTTTAAGGTTGTTACACAAAGATTAAGAAAAGTAAAGATTGTATATAAAATGTAACAATTTTACAAAAGTGCCCTTAATGACTATTGGTTGCCATAAATGTATAGTATGATTTAATAACTTGAAAGTATATCAGACAATATTTATTAGGGGTAAAATTGGTTAAAATTAATTAATGCTGCATTGAAAAACTAAAAAGACTCTTATTTTAGGATAAATTTCTTTGGCTAGACAGACACTTATTTTGGGACAGAGGGAGTATGTCAGATAATCATCTTTTCAAGAAGAAGAAAAACTGCAATAATCAATTTTCTCAATTTATTTTATGAACACAGTGAAATAGCCATCTTCATGTGCATACAACAAAATAAGAGGCCAACTTATGAAGTAGCAACAATGTTATAAGAATACTGCAAAACTATAAGTACACGTATATCAGTTCCAGAACTTATGGAGACTGTGTACTCATATATTGAACCCGAGGTTACTATTCCTACTCTCACCCATATCAGAGTAACAGATGCATTCAAACATTAAACACAAGAAAAATGTTACACCATCATTATGCTTCCTTTCAATCCAAGGGAAAACCAGCACTGAAAGCAGCCTCAAGAATAGGGAAAATTTTGGTGACTAACTTTAGTAGTTTTGGAATTATTTAGTAGATGGGACAAATTTTTATGGCAATGTGCAGCAGAAGCTGTTATTGTGTTCATTCAGTCGAAGGGTAACATTAGTATGTTTGCTCACGAAAGGCTTAAGTTTAGAAAATTGGCTTCTATTCTATTTGGTGTAAAAAGCAGATGGTTTTCTTAAGGGGTCCCTAGCAGATATGCAGAGTGATTTGGCAGCATTGTTCAATGGTGTTTGTTTTTCTCTTCTTTTCCTGCTTTTTTGTTCCTTTTCTTCTTTTTAGATAATAGATTATCCTCCAAGTTCTTTGTAATTTTCTTTTACTCGTCTTGATGAATTTTCTTGTTAAAAAATTTAAAAAAAAAAAAATTCTTTTTCAGAAATAGACAACATACCAATTTGGGGCCGTCACTTCCCAATCGATCAACAGAAGATATCATAGACTGTCTACACGCTAAAGAATCAGCATCTGCCTCCAGTTCACTTGGTCCTGTAGTCTTGTAATCACTATCACTAGAGCTGGCACTTAAGCTACTGATACTGCTACTGTTGCTATTGCTACTACTATCATAACCATTTTGAGTTCGGGTTCCATTGTATTCAGTCCAAGGATCTTCAGTAGATTCCACATTACCCGCACTGCGGAAGGAAGAAGAAAATTTAAGATATCGAGATATGAAAATAAAGGCTTTAATCAAAACCGGATCAAATTGAGCATATTTATGTGCTCTAAAAGTTACCTGAAAAAATTAATAGGGATTATATTTGCTTAAGGAATATATGGGAGAGAAAGGTTCATCAATAAACCCATTACTACATACATACATGTCAAGTAAATGATATTTTTGATAAAATGGAAAGAAGAAAAAAACTGAGAGAATAAGCATGCACAAACACAGAAAATTTTAGATAAAGAAGTGAGAGGAAAAAATGCAACAAGGCTTCCTGCTTTCTCTGTATGCCATATAGCATCTCCCATGAAACAGCCATGAGCAGAAACATAAAGGGCTCACAATTAACCTCAATAATCAAAGATATAAGAATGCAAGGAAAAATACAGAGATAGAGAGCAACAAACCAGTGAATAAAGGATGAGGAACCAGTCAGGGATGGACCCATCCAATTCTGCAGCCAAAATCTGTATTTTCACAATAAATAGAGTAGGAGTCAGAGGTTTTTCAGGAATTGAGGGAAGTAATGGTGGTCGTGCGGCCACTATTTAAATGGAAACCAATTGCTATTGCAAAACTCTGCCACAGTGGAGAAATGCTTCACCACATGCATTTGGGAGCAAGGAGGCTGTGCTCTACTCCACTGCATCACCATTAACTACTCTTGTGTGATCCATGCTTCTATTTGGTTCACTTTGATTGGAGCTTACGCTATAATTTTTAAGGAGATTTACTTAGCTAAGAATCTGATTCAAATAAGACTAGGTCACTGGATTCTATTTGGAGTAACATGGACTTTTCAAGGAGGTTTCCCAAGTAGATATGCAAAAGGATTAAGCAACTTCCCTCTAGTGATGTTTTCTCTTTTTTATTTTTTGCTTTGTTTTTCCATTTTCTTTATGTACAACCCCTTATTCTAATTCCCATGTTATTTTTTGTCTTAATGACTATTAAAAAACATTATATTGCATCAAAAAGAATAAAACAAGAAAACAAGCTTGACCAGATTGTCTTAAAAGCCGCACAAAGCTCTTAATTAAAGAAAGCTGGAATAAAGTAAGACGTGGAAAAAAATACCTTCTCAAAGAAGACCTAGCTAACGACGTTTGAAAAACAGGTACAAGCACTGCCTCAGCTGGATAGAGAAATGTTTTCTCATTATCTGACAAATGATCCGGTGATCCTTTGTGATCACTTTGTCCAGTGACGGGAGATTTGGGTAAATTCCTAACAATATTTTTGTTTGACTGCAATGCCTTGTCAGTTTCAGATCTAGGGAAGCCAAGGCTCACTTCAACAAAACAGTTCTGCCCCCTTAGCTGGCAACCAACACCCTGGGAAGCATGATATGGAAGACCTATAATTCCATTTGACACCCTTAATTTGGAAGAACAGCTGCAGAATTTTATAAAAAATGGAATTCAGTCAGTGGTGATGTCTTCATAAACCAATTGTACACACCAAGGGTTAAAAAAAGGACCTGAAATAACTTTGCTTGACAAGATCACTTGATGAACAACCAGTCAAGCTGCCACGTATTCCATGAGGAGAAACAATCACTGCCACATAATAAGTAAAATAATCTCAAATACAGTACCAAGAAAATCCACTGGAGAACTAAAAAGAACTTAGTAATCCTTTGGACATTGGCAGTGTTGTCAATGACAGATGGCGGTCCATGGCGGAGAGCCGAAATCCCACCACCATTATAGCGGTTTATGGCGGAAAAACTCACAACACCGACCAATATTTACCAATGTGAGAAGCCCAAAAACCGCCATGTATATCCGCCATAGCGTTGCAGTGGCCAATATTTGATAACAATAGGTACTGGCAAGTATGAATACAAAAGCATTAACATAATAACATCTGAATCGTGATATGACGCCTAAAGAAGAGAAGGTACTGACAGATATATTGACAATAACTCTACATAAAGGTGGAAGAGACAGAAAAGATTAACTCTTCTTTTGCAATAGAAGAAATTTATTAATTTGGAATAAAATAAAAAAGATAAACAAGTGCGGGATGCAGGTCCCATTGAACTATCCAAACATCAATAATAAATCTCTAACAAACAAAACTCAGTACAACAAAGCTCTTCAAATCCATCCCTCCGAATTTTTGAAATAAGCCAACAATACCTTGAACACAAAAGAAAGAAAAAAATTGAAAAGCAAAATGTTATTCAAAGGAAAGGAGTCCCCATAAGCCATTCCTTGAAAATCCAACCATTGGTCTATCATTGCACACCAAACAGAATCCAGTATAACCCAAATATTTTATGCCACCAACAACAGGTGAATAGCATATCAAAGAATAGTAGTGCTAAGAGAGCAAACAAAACTTCATGCACAAAAGATCACGCCAACCTGGAAGTCTATATGTTGTCTCTGTAGAATGTTTCAATAGTTTTTCTAGATCACCAGTGGAAAGCATTCGGATATTCCTGATAAAAAAGAGGGAAAACAACGGGTAAATATTTCAATGCAAGCTAAAACTATAGGCCATCTAAAAAATCTAGCACCATCATACTTTGAGGACACTATGACGTGGATAAAGATTGCCTCCTCTGTTGCAGCAAAGACAAACTCAAATGCAGGGTGTCCTCTCCTGTAAATATCAAAAACATGCAAAAGCAGAGCCACTGTCAAAAAGAAGTAGAGGCAAAACAACACAGAATGCAGACAATGGTTCAGTCAATCAGCTTTGGTGGGATTCAGACTTCGCAATTTTGTTTGAGGTCAACGCAAATTGCCTAAATCTATAAGAAATTTACTGTCTGCTAGGAAAGAAGCCCGTTATGGTAAAGTTTACAGTTGTGAAAGTTTTTCCAACATAAAATATGTTCCGCTACTTAGTCAGGTGTAGATAGTTACGGTAACTCGCACAGTACAGTTGAATCATGCTACTATCAAACAGAAGGCAGCAAGTAGCTTAATCTAACAGTAAAAACGGAATGACAAGACAGAAAGATAACAAACATGTCCAAACCTAAGAAACACTGTACTCCAAAATTAAAGGTGTATACATATCAGGTTCGTACAAGTTGTATACTCTTGAGTAAATTCTGGGAATATATAAAAAGAAGGGGGAAAAATAGGCAGGCACTAAGTTTGGCTGCACATGGATGTTTGTGTACCAAGTAGCAACTTGTACCCACATTAATAAGAAAAATAAGTATTCGCGTTCCTTTTTTTTTTAAATGTTGAAACTATTATTACTTTGAAGATCTTTTCATATCTCTTGCTATGTAAATATTCTTTTCCGATTTTCCACTGCATATATACCATCTTCTGTAATTTTATTGTATACTTTTTTATTAATTCATTATGATTTGTAATGTAGTAAATAAGAAAAGATTCTAGACTGTAATTAAATAAGCAATCCCTATAATCAAGGTAATTAAAATCGAGATCCTACCTAAGATTGGGAGGTGGAGTTACGATCGTAAATCATAGGATCATAAGTGTGATCCAAGGAAATTCATAATTAATGTATTTGTGCACAATTATTCATATACAAACACTAAATTAAACTTAAACTAAGAATAATAACGGAAAAGTACATTACACGAAATTTAGTATAGGTCAAGAATTAACAACTAAAGCTATAGCTAAAAAAGACACGGCCATTGGTAAATTATATTGGGCCTTTTCTAAACAGACCCAACCCAAGCCAAGGCAACAGACTCAACTAAAATCAGTTTAAAAGAAAAATCAAAATGAAGGAAAATTTAAGAACAGACGATGTGCATGCCCCTAACCTAACCCCCAAAGCAGAAAGAGAGAGGGGGGAAGTGAAAACCGAATGTGCCTCTGGCAGGCAAAATCGAAGCCGACAGTGAACCCGCATCAAAGAACTTGGTTGCACGACAAAAACAGGGTTGTTGTGGGTATCTTGGTCGGAAACTTTGGATAGCAAGAGAGAGAAAATCTTACTTACCGAGGTTTATAAGAAAAACTAGGGTTCAGCAGTTTTAAGAAACAGGTTGCATGCTTATAAAATCAGATGGGTTTTAAACAAACAGGCAGGCCGCGGAACTGACCCGGCAACTAAGCACGCTCAGGATTGCGGATTTTCACTGATTTCAGGATCTTGAGCCACGAATCCGACGACCCTACCAATCTTGGCAAGAAGTGAGTTTGCGCAGGAACAAGATTGCAAAAATCTGAAAAATCGTATGATTTCAAAATAGCTACCATTCCGCTATTTCACTATATCATTTTTAGGGTCGGATTTTAAATTTATAATAACACCGCCAGAAACAAATTGGAGCAACGATTTGAAAAACTTCATCTACCGAGTCATTCAATTTTTGTTCTACCTATGACTCTCTATCTATTGATTCAGGGGAACCAATGCCCGCTTTGTAATTATGGGATTTTGGACATACTTGTCGCCAAAGATCATTTTCATGTGGTTACACGTGACCTGTTAATGACTATTTATTATAGTCTTTTACATTTTTAACTGACATGCTTCATGTGTTGGTCTATCACAAGTTAATTATATACTGTTGATTGCAATCAGATTTTGTTATAATTAGCATTCATAGTTATCTTATATAGGAATAATTGATTATATCCCAAAACTATAGGACCTTGTTTCCTTTTCAGATTATATTTCACTTGTACATGTGTGTGTGTGTGTGTTTACACAACCCTATCGACATTAATGAAATGCTAAGCCTAAATATATTGGTGAAAACATACCTTAGCAGTTCTTCCCTTTGAAATTGATGGACCTTTGAAAACACATCTCCAAATCTCATGTAATAAAGCCCAAGCAGTGCCCTGCCAAATTTAATAAGATAAAATGGCAAGATATGACCAAAATTAACATCACTTTGAAGAATTGGAGGGGAGAAAAACCTTTCTATGCAATTCCTTAAAGCCCGAGAGAGAGCAGCTGCAACCTCTTCTGAGTCCCCAGGAGCGACCCAGAGCCCAGACGCAACAACTTCAGAAAAAAAAAAGTTTCCCGTGTAAGAGTATTTTCAGAAAAAAGGAAAGTATAAAGTCTACAAAATCTTTGAAGAAAGAAATGTACATTGTAACATCCTGATTTCTATAAATGGGACTATTATTTTATTAAATAGTTGTTGTATATTGTTTTCAACTTTACTATTTAACAGGCTGTTGCATATATGCCCAAGACAACAGTTCCGTTAAGTGTAATACCTCTTAATCCAGATAATGCTGGCTGAGCAGTTTCAGAAACTGATGAATGACGCCCTGGAAGAAAAAGCCACAGCTTAATCTTTTCATCTGCATGTTAAGCACAGAAAACAGAAATTTAGGTAACTAAAAAATGGAAAACCACTTCTATTCTTTCCTACTAGTTAAAAGACAATAAAAATTGCAAATAATCACAAATGACAAAAACACTAAGTCAGCAATCTCTACCAGGATTATGCAAACCCTGAGATGGATCCCAGGGTCCAACAAAGGAATTGGTCCATGAACTGAGAAACCCTTCCTTCTGTAGTTGCAGATGTGATGAAAGCACCAGTAACATTGCAGCATCCTTCTGGTCCGCTTTTACACTGTTTGAACAGAAGGTTGACCAGTAACATTAAAATAGTGACCCAGAATGAAAGAGAAAAATATAAGATAAATTCCAACCTTTTGTCGGGAAGAGGGTTCAGATCAGGTTCGTGGGGGAGAAACTGAAACCATGATATCTGATGCAGACTACCCTGTACAAATTTCAAAAATTATACACTTAGTTATATACATACAAAGACAACCAAGCAAATTCTAAACAAAAATAGAGCAGCTGGAGATATATAATTTATGGTAAAAGCTAACTAAAAAAGCAGCATTGAGGTTTAACCTTTTTGCACCCACTTATGTTGCTCTTGAAAAAGGGAGATTTCGACCATTAATCTCTTGTTAGACTAACAGGCCCTTTTTTCTTTTATTTGATATACCTAACGTTGTCAACTGCGGAATGTGGAAACTAGTTGTTTGTTCAAACTCCATTAAGCTATAGCCGCTATTTGACAACGCTTTGTATTAAATCGCGTATCGTCGCGGAACAATATTAGTTAGTTAAATTTCCGCTACGCTACAGCGCCGCTATTTGACAGCATGGTTATCTCCAACAATAGCAACAAATTTTAAGTATTTATGTTTTCTATTTGTGAAAAAAATAAGTGAGCCAAGACTGAGGTTGATACAACCAGTCCACGCAATTAATTGACATGAACGAACAAGTAAACAATTTTAATGTTAGCATTCAAAAGAGCCGCTATTTTATTCTTCTACTAATCTATTTCTTATTTATTTTTTATATTTAAAAAATAAATAAAATGGCGGGATAGGACACGTGTCGCCTCCTATCAATTTGGTCTCCCGCCCAACATCTTTCTTTTTATACCCGTCTTATTACACGGGTTTTCATTTCTACAAGTACGGATCAAAACGAAAAGGAAACATCTTATACATAAACCGATTGCTAGATCAGGCTATTCAAAAGACCAACTAGGGTTAATATTTAACTTTCGGATAAAATGATGTAGTTTCGCTAAACATAATCCAATAGGACCAATACCAAACATAATTATAAACATTGTCATATATCGAAACTAAACGTCCAATAACGTCATCACTTATCAAAGAAGTCTCCGGTAACCCTAGCAACGCTTGTTTGGAAAAATCAAGATCCAGTACATGATCAAATAGGAAAAAAACAGGGAACGTAATCAAAAAGAAGCTAGTTAGGTTTTTCTATCTACAAGAAAACTTTAAAGACTCACACAAACCAAATCTAATTAAAAGATAAACGCATTGTATCCAATAAACATTAGATAATCTATACTATGGTATGCTATGTGGTATACTAAATAGGGTAAAACGAAATTCAACCATGAACTAACAATATTCCAGCTACAACAAACAAAGCTATCACACAAATAACAATAAGAGTATATAGATGCGGAAAAAACCTACAATTTTGAAAACGTTCATCCACATAGCTGATGAAGCAACCGTTCCGGTGAATTGAATAGGGTTTCGCGATAAAGAACCTCGATCTGGTTATTAGGTTTTGGTGAGACTTATGAAGCGTTTACGTGCTTCTGCTCTTGAAAAGCGAAATCAAATATGCGAAATTCGGAATCTGATTCAGAATGCGAAACTTACTATGATCCTAGTTCGCGTTTCGCTAACACCGAAACTCAATCACCTAAACATGAATGATGAAAATTGTGTTCAGCATTTCCGCAAAGATCACTCGAGTAGGGTTTTTTTGTTCCGAAGAGAGTTGAATTTAACACCGCTTAACTCAACTCCAAATTTTGCGGGGGGTGTGCATGACGAGAAGTTTAGCGTTTTCGATGTTTATATATAGTATCGAATAACACTCGATGTTATATTTGGATTTGGACTATGTTATAATTTTGAATAACTTTTTATCATGAGTCCAAAAAAAAAATTACTTTTATCCGTGTGTTTTGATAAAATTAATAGTTAAATAGAAAGTAAAGAAAAAAAAAAAAATATATATATATATATATATATATACTACCATTTTATCCTTTATAATATAGACGATTATCCTTTATAATATAGACGATTTTTTTAAAAAAAATTAATATTATTATTTAAAGATTATATTATTTTAAATCTTGTAAAAAAATTTATTGTTAAAACTAATTTTATTATGTGAAGGATTTTGTCATTTTAAACTTTGTGAATTGTTTTTTTATAAAATTAATTTTTTTTATTCATATTTCAGATGATTTAAATTATAAAATTAATTTTTTTTATTCATATTTCAGATGATTTAAAATGATATAGTCTTTAAATTTATAGAGTTTAAAATAATCAAATCTTTAAATGATAAAGTTAATTTTATAAATAAGAATTTTACAATGTTTAAAACGACGGAATCTTCAATTGACAAGATTAATTTTATAAAAAAAAATTACAAAAACAAATTAAAAATCACTTATATGACATAGTAAAATGATATTATTCAAAAAAAAATATCTAAAATAAATTCATTCTAATTCAATAATTAGAAAGAATACAAAAATAAGTGTTAATTAATGAGATTTAGGAGAAAAATATGATTGAATTTATTGTGTGTTGTGTTATCGTTTGATTTAATATGACATTTATGAACAAAAACATACAGTATGTTCTTTAAAAGAGATTAAGATGTGGTTAAATAATACCATTATCAAAAATTACGTAGTTAAAAACAAAATAGTTATATGTATTAAATATATGGTAACCATGTGAATAGTAATGTTCTGATTTTTTTTCATCCTTACCACATGTAACAAATCTAGTAAAATTTGAATAACTAATGATAAAAATTCAAATGTTAATATATTTTAGAGATGAAATATTAAAATTATATTTTTAAAAAAAAAAGACATATTTTACCCTATTTTGTAAGTGATAAAAAAATTAAACTTAATTTTCAATAATTTAATACTTTTCAAATGGGACATTGATAGAATTAATAGTATTACTACCTCCAAAGTTGGCCAAAGCGCTCCATACAAAGTTTCCGTTTACATATTTGCACATGCAATAGTCGTTTATATTTTCTAAAATTGTAACCCTATCATGATAATAAAAAATTAAAGTATAAAAATTGTTTACAACTCACGTTTAACATTTTCCATCATTTGTTATTAAAAATTGATATTGCAATAGTCAGTGTATTTAACTCACTTGTTGCAATTTATTGTACATTACCATAATAGTTCTTTATAATTTTTAGGTTAAACATGTAATTTTTGTGATTAATTGATTTTAATTAAATGATGTGATATAAGAGAAAAATATGCGTTAAGTAAAGAGACAGATGAGAAAAATATATTTTAATATATTTTATATTGTGTTATTGTTTGATGTTATATGTCATCATAAAGACGATAAACAACAATTTATGTTTTTTAAATGAGATTAAAATATGGCTAATAATATATGATTCTTTAAAATATTAATTATTCGTGAAACATTAAGAATAAGGAAACATCCACTTTTATTTAAAAGCAAAAATATTATTGATAAGGAATGTGCAAGGGGTATTCCAACTCTTACAAATTAAGATGGATTCAAAAAAGAGCCTTAAAAACTAGTCAAGAAAGAGAGATCAAACAAACATTGCAAAAATGCAATAAAGTTTTACACCATCATCCTCATTTAACTATTGAAATAATGAGAATACATAATATTCTCTACCATAATTTGTCTGCTCCAACAATGAACATCATCACTAGAACAATAATTTAATGGTCAGCGACACACAACACCCAGAAACTCCTTCCACAAACGAATCACATGCCACACTACAGAACCAATCTATGAAATTATCAATCGGCATACATTTAATTGCAGTATCCATATTTATTCAAATAGCCTTCACTTTTAAATCACCCCCAAAATTTCCAAGCAAACTAATGTACTACACTCTTCTCATACAACCCTGCAACAACTAAGCCAACATACACCTCCCGGGATTAAAGACCCACTTAGTTAATAGTAGTGTAATTCATGGCATAAATCGTTTGTAATTTGTAGTTTTTTTTAAAATAAAACCAAAAAATGCTAACTAAAATGGTTAGTGCAACAAATGGTGTTTGAGTTGACAACTTTAAAATTCTAGTGATGATTTGTGTTGCTAGCAATATAAAAGAAAGCAGACTTAGAGTTTTTTATACAATAATTGATTGATTGATAAATGATTATATATAACATATGTAGTCATTAAGTCTAAATGCAGAGGATAAAATCAAATATCATTAGAAAATGAAATAGTGATATATAGTCTAAAGGCATAAGATAAAATACAATATCATTAAAAAATGAAATAGTGATATGTATAAGTATGTGGTAACACTTATGATGTTATGATAGCTTTTTCATCCTACCACGTCTAATGAATATTGAGTGAATAAGAATAACCAATAGTAAAATATTTAAATATTACGTGTATTTATATTTTTGAGATGATATATAAAAATTATATATTAGTTTGGACTGGGTCAGTAATTGCTTTACTGTTGAGGAGGTTCAATCCACACCTTTGTATAAGGCCTAAAGGCAAGCAGTTTAAGTTGGGGACCGTTGACCAATTTTCCACATGTCTGTTGGGGAACGTAGCCCACATGTCCATATCATCGTCATCATTCTGCTCTCTGAGAATAACGGGTTCAGCTCCTACTTTCTCGGGGCAGTTGATCAGAGGGAAGGCCACGTGTTAGACTCCATACACACGTAAGCCCTGACAGTCTTCATTGTTAGGCCTCATCGTGGCCCAACGTTGGAGACATTTGTAACGCCCCGATATTTAATTATTTATTTAATTAAATGTTATTTTGATTATTTTATTTTTAATTCGAATTTTTATCGTTGAAGTCGGAATTATTTTATTAAGTTGGAATAATAATTTAATCAGGTTTATATAGGTATAAATAAGTTGAGGTGTCATTTTACTAGTAAGTTTAGAATTGATGTTGGGCTTAAGTATGGTGTCGCGAAGTAATAAGGGGGGTGTTTTGTTTAGGCCCATTTAAGTTACTAAGCGTTAAATAATAATATTTTATTAGAAAATAGAAGAAATGAGAGAAAGAGGTGTTATCAAGAAAAACAAAATAAGAAGGGAAAAGAGAATAGGATTTTGTGAGAAGAGGAGAAGAACAAGGAAGTTGCTGCTAGGGCTAGTTTCCAGAAATTTCATTGAAGCTTCCTTGATTGTTTCGAAATCAAACCAGGTAAGGGTGGGTTTCCTATACTATAATGGGGTGTATGATACTTTGTATGTGAGAATTTGTATGTGAAATTGTTACTGCTTTATTGACTTGTGCTTGACTTGTGTTCTTGTGATAATAAAGATTAATATTGTTTTAGTTATAAAACTGTCAAGGAAAATATGTGGGTTGTTGTGTTATTGTATGGGTTGAGTTTGGATTGGGAGACAGAAGAATTACTGAAGCAGCATGGAAACTACGCATAGAAATTAAGTATAGGAAATAAGAAGAAGAAATGAAAACGAAATTGGAAGTGGAAGTGTCGTCCGACACCTGTGTTATGGGGGTTGCCGTTCGGCAACCTTGGTAGGAGAGAGAAGTGCCGCTCGACACTAGTGTGGTAGGTGGAGGAAAGTGTCACTTTGGCACTGTGAGGCAGGGGCACTTGTTTTCTCTATTTTCTTTATTTTTTTGCTTGTCCTTCTAAGGCACTATGTTGCATAATTCTCAAATAATATCAATAATAGCTAGTAGCAGTATATATGAATGTCTCTGTTTTCAGTAGCAGTACATTAAATTTAGTTGTTAGAAGCTAGTTTTATATGGAAGAATGGCACACTCATTAGTTGTATAATAAGTTAGCAATTTTAGGGAGAACAAATAACAGTGGACTATATATATTTTAAATGGTTGAATTAGTATTTTAGTAGTGATGAAAATAATTTAGCAATGGGATTAATTGATTAAGTTGGTAAATAATTGGAGACGAGTTAATTAATTCGGTATGTTGGTATGTTTATGTATTTTGCAAATTGACTGAAATATCATTTTGTTTCGATATCTCTGTAGTAAGTAAATGTTGTGATTTACCCTTGATTAATTGGTAATAACGGTGATATAGGGCTTTGGCCAATGTTGAAGGTGTGAATTGTTGTTATGTTGACCTTTATTATGTTATTGTCGTTGTTGTGTTTCCAAGTTGTGGTTGTCTATATCATCGCATTAAAGTTGACCTGGATTGGCATGTTCTAACTTGGAGCGAATGCTCACCACGTTGGCCTTTATTGGCAAGATTTATGTTGAGGGCTTATGCCTTATGCCTCGGTAAATTGGCATTTTCTAAGTTGGGAGTTCTGCTCTAATGGTACCACATGCATTTGCATAGTTGAGTCGCATTTGGAGTCGTTGATTTGTTGCTTATTTGAAGTGTTGTTTACGCACGGTAATGCTATAAGTTGAATTGAGGCGTTGGTGAATGGTATTGTT